CAAAGTAACTTCGAAGTAATATATTTATTTGCAAAATCAATTACAAGATCTTGGTTTAATTTCTTTTTTGAAATATACTGCCTTTGGTTTAAATTAAATAAATAATATGAGCTTCGAATCTAAAATCACTTTAATTCTGGTCAATCCTCAGAAAATATTATACGAAAAATTAATGTAATTTTTAAACAACATTTGATGATAAAAATTTGATTGGCGCTTTGAGATATTATGCACTTATTTGTCGTTAGTGCACCGGTTTTAAATTAAATAAAAAATATGGGCATAAAATTCAAATTCACCATAATTTGTTTCAAAAAAAAGAGGAAAAAATAGCAGATTAGTAGCTCTACATTTCATGTAGTGCTTAAAATAGGAATCGAAAGAAATGCAAGGAATATAATCTATGACCGTGTATCATTTTCTACATGAGTGTTTGAATCGAATCTCGTTGATGCATATGTGTGGCCGCGCGCGCGAACTTTTCTGCTCTCATTTCCATTACACATTGTTGGAAATGTGCTCATGGACCCTTGCTTTTTCGCACACACACACATACACATATGAAAAGCTACAGGAAAGTCGTTGCATCGACCGATATACATAAATATATTAGAAAAATGTGTGTAGCGAAAACGAAGCGAATAATAAAAGACGACGACGACGACGACGACGATGTGAAATTGTGTGTTGGCGAAAGAAAAGTAGAAGAATCCAAAGTGCTCCATATTCCGCATCATGTATGTCACTCGTATTTCTTTTCAGAGGTATTATATGAAAAGAAATAAAAGCACATGCTCAAAGCAAAGTGATATGGAAGAAGTGAAAATGTAGAGAAAAGAGAAGAACTAACACGAATGACGTCGAATGAGAGGAAGAAAGAGAGAGGGAGAGAGATAGAAACAGGGTGGGACAGTGTGAGTGAATGAAATGAAAAAAGAATAAATGGCTCAAAATAGGGAAACTGCACTCTTGCAACCTCAATGGAAATGCGAGAATTGTAAAACTTGTTCTAACGTTTTGGCTAATGCAGTAGAAATCAGAAGCAGCAGTAGTACACACATGGCTGTAACGAACGGATAGGCTGGAGCACTCACGACGCATGAAACAGACTTGCCATATGACACAAACTACACGCGCCAAAAGAAAAGTTGTCGCTTTGGAAGATATAGAAAAAAGCCACGACAATGATGTCGATGACGACGACGATGGGAGAATGAAAAGGAAAGAAAAACACATACACACAAAATTCGTTGGCTCTTTCCTCTGCTTTATCACTCTCTTCCGTTTTCGTTTAATGGCATGCAAAGATAGTGAATTATTTGTGTGAGTGCTGCATTTTGTGCCATTTTCCAAGCTCTATATCGTTTATCCATTGTCGAGTATCGACTAATGTATATTCGCATACGTAGTTCCATTACAAACAATGGCAATGTATCTAGTGTGGGTTGAATGGGTCAGGAAGAGCAATGCAATGAATATAAAACTGCCAACAGTTTTGCCAAAGAATGGAACGGCACAACGAAGCAGGAACAATCGGAGACCAACACAGAGGAAGAAAGAAAGAGAAAGAGAGACGTACATAGACAGGCAGACAGAAACGAACCGAAACGAAATCGGTTGATGCAATGACGAATGTTTGTCATGTCATTTATAGACGATCGCATTTTTCTTTATTTCTGTTTACACGGATCGATTTCCGTCTGTGAATGTTCTCTCTCTCTCTCTCTCTCTCTCTCTCTCTCTCTCTCTCTCTCTCTCTCTCTCTCTGTCTGTCTTATCAAAAAGTAGTAGGAAACAAATGCGCCAATAGCAACTGCCATTTGCTAGTTCAAAATTGAAAATTCAATATTTTATATGATTTTTATTGGTAAGCAAGCATTAGAGCGCACAGATATTCTCACATTGGTCTGTCTCATATGATCGAAAATTGCAGTTTTTGAAATGAAACTAAACAGGCCGAGCACCGAGTACACAGAATTGATTTGCAGAAAATGCCAAATGCCAAATGAAAAAGAGAAAAATCGAAGAGTGAACAAATGTGGACAAAAATAGCATCATCGCAAAGGCTCCCTTTGAACTGGTATTCGTCAAAATATGCCGTAGAAATAAGCAGAAGCAAATATTCCCACCCATTCTCGGCATACGCAGACTTTCAAACGTGATTTGTTCTGCTCAATTAACGAACAAGATACGCTCCTGGCTCGCAATTCAGATCATTCATCAAGTGCCGTTCTTCTGAATAAATAAACGTTTTGCTCAACGTAAACGTAAGAAAATTAATGTTGGATGCTCTAGAAATCATTACTTGCAAAAATGTGCGGTAAATGTAAAACGCAACGGCAACCAAATGGCGTTGGGTAAAGGAATTTTTTTTCTTTGCTGTTGGAAAAAAAGGAATACATATTCTAAGCTCGTTCTCTTGCTCTCATCCAAAAAGCACTGTACATTATGCTGTTGAGCGCGAAGCGCGCTCAATGTGGAATTGTACAGTTGGTTGTTGTGGAGATCAGCGTACATGCGAGCCCCAAAAAAAAAAACGGGAGCGAGAGAGGAACACACAAAGAGTTACCGCAAAAAGTAAATAAATAATCAACGCGAGGCACATAAATGTGAATTAACATAAATATGTGTAAAATCAGTTTGCCGAAATTCAGATATGGAAATTCGGCTGTAGCGAGCATTAACGCACCACATCGCATTCTCCATGGGAACCATATGAGTGCTTCTTTTTTCCGCGTATGAGGGGGGGAGACACACGAATGAAAAGAGCGAAGCGGTACGGCTCAAACAAGCGATCAACAACGAAAAGGGAATGAAATGCGAAGGAAAAAAACCAAAATTAAGACGAAGGCAATGCGAAAGACAAATGGTGCACAAAAGATGCGGCCAAACATGTGGGATAAATACACACTGAACTGATGGGACGAGATGAGATGACGCACACTCATATTTATATATATAAACGCTTGCTTGCTGTGCTGCTTGTTCACATACAGAGTTTAAATTTGGCTAAAATTAAATGAATTTCAGGCAGTGAGGGGTAGACATCCATTGCAACAATAAATTATAACACACGCGAAACAAAGCAGCCATAAGATTAACGTGTAAAGAAATCGGCGAAATACTTATGGGCACATGAGAAACGCGCTTCACTCACTCTTCATGTGGGAAACGATTTTCATCATCACTTTCAAGTCTACTTGAAACGAGCGACTAAACAGTCCGTTCGAGGTGATTCTGGAGCGAGAATCGTGCGGAAAAGACTTTTTGATGAGCAACATACACGTGGGCTGCTGTAATTGGTATTGTGTGCCAAAAGTTTTTCTTTCCCCTGTTCAATCACTATCGTCGTCGTCGTTGTCATCGTCCTCGTTCTTTTGGGCATGGCTTAGCGCAAATAAGCAGTACAACGTAACACAACACCGGGCAAAGCACACAAAAAGAGATTTGCTGAATTCTGCGCTATAGATAATCATCATATGGTTAAGCTTTCGCTCACACAATTAAAAGTCGCTTTAGAATATATACAGTCTTCCACACATACACGTACGGACACAAATCGTCGGGTATGAACGGTGCAATTTGAGCGCTACCTAGTAATTTAAGAGTAGCTCCTTTTCATATACATACCGTACATATATTTTGAGCATTTTATTATTCATTGGAAGAACTTGAAATCTTTGCGTCTCTCGCTCTCTCTCTCTCTCTCTCTTCCTCTCTCTTGACCTCGCACTCCATCCTACCTAACAAATGCTGGCGCTTAAGAGAGAACGATCTCGAGAGCTAAAACACAGCAATCCCAACTTTTCGGATTCTTTTGTGTATCTTTGCAAATATATGTGTATTTAAAATTGATGTACACAATTTTTGTACGATGAAAACAGAGAAAACTTCCCAAAGCGCGTGCTCACGTACACATTAATTTAAGATAACAACCAAATTAAATTTCTTAATTATTAATAATTGGGTATGGTTGTGCGTTAGCTTTCTCCTGGTAATTCCTTCGCATGTTATTTGCATGTGCACAGAAATTTCTAATTTAAATAACCAACAAAATATTTATATTCACTGAATTTTCGAATGATTTGTGGTTGTATCTAAGTGGTAATGCGTGTGCGTGTGTTGCGACTGTTGCGAGACAGGGAGAGAGAGAGGGAGAAAGAAAACAAGACCGCAGAGCGTCGTTTCGCTCCGCTCTGCGTTCTTGTTTTTAATCTATTTTGTTGTTTCACAAAAATACCAGATTAGTATCTCTACATTTCATGTAGTGCTGAAAAACAGGATAGCGCACACAGCGTACTTGTGCCCGTGCTCCTTCAATGTGCAATTGTGTATGGCTTAGCTTCATCGTCATATAAATGACACACAAAGCCATATGTGTATGAATTATGTCAGCCTTGCCAATCATCTTGAGGAAATGTACAGAAAAACCAAAAACGAAACGTTTGTTCGTTCGTACGCCTCTTTTCATTTTGGCTAATGTGCTCCGTGTATTTTATTTATGTCAAAATTGAGCTAGTTGTCAGGTTTTAAGGGAAAATAGAAAAAAAATGATCAACACCATCATTATCATGAGAGGAGCTCACCACCTCGTTATCACTCCAAATTTGATGTTTATCAACGCTGATATGCTGTAACAGTTGAATACATTCGGAAATAAAAATAATTGGATACTGTTTTCCGGTTTTCATCATCATCACATCGAGTTATATTTTTCAAATTACGTGAATAAAACGTGCAGTCAATTCCCCAATCAAAGTCTGACGCATGACAATAAGAGAGAAATGAGAACCGCACCACAAAACCTCGCATTACTGTTGTTAAAGCACACATTTTTTTCCTTTGTTTTTTAAAAAAAAGAAATATCTCCCAAACGATTCCATCACCGCCCCCCCCCTCTCATCACAAAATTCCACATTTATTAAACGACTATTAGCTATCGATTTCTAAAGTGTTTCTTTAAACTCATTTTGTCTTTTTTTTTCTCTTTCTATTTCCAGCTTATTACACCAATCAAACCGCAACTGATCGAACTGAACGCCCTTTCCGATTTCGATAAACTATTGAAACAGCAATTAAAAACTAAATAATCAATCCAAGACAACGGATAATAACACGAAATCAAATGCGAATGTAATTTTAAGAAGGGCAAACGCGCAAGCGATGCGAGAACGATTTCGGGAAATTACGTGGCCGTAAACAGAGAGCGAGAGAAAGACAGAGAGAGAGAGAGAGAGAGAGAGAGGAGTGAACTGTGAACTCACACACAAATTGTGGCGGGATAACATAAGAGCCCACTACAAATGATCCATTTTGATTTTCATTCAAAACCCATTTTCTTCAGCGCCATCTCTGAAAACTAAAAAGAGAAGAAAAAAGAACGCAAGGAAGCAAACAAATACCGCAACATATTGTTTTCGCTTCATTAAATTTTCATCGTACCGTGATATTACAAGTACTCTCAGTCTTCATTCACCATTTCCTATATATATATAGAGATTATTTCTTTGCTGGTGTTTCGTTTGCTAAAAAAAAGCTCAGTCGTTTTATGTTCGGTTCGTATCTTCTTTTTTAAATTGTTTGTCGGTGATTTGAATTAAATCAAAAGACTAACCGTGCCCGGTCAAAGTGAACAAAACGAAAGCGAAGAAAAAAGAAAAGGAAAAAGCAGAGAAGCACAGAATGTTGGGGATTTGTAAGAGTGGTGAGAGCTTAATTAATGCCTAATAACGGTGAAGAAAACTGGTGCGTTTCAAGTGCGGTGAGTGCGAGTCCAAGTTCAAGAGTCCTACAAGCGGGAAATCCCCCTTCAAAAGAAGAAGAAGAAGATAAATTGAAATACACAATAATCATACTGGCATAATAACAATAATCATCACATTAATACAATAAAATAATGATAATAATATAAAATTGCCGAGTAATAGAAAAGGTTAATTCGGAGTATCATCGGTCGGTCGGACGAAAACGGAAAGAGAGCGTTGCAGAGAAAATAAACAACAACAACAACGCAAAAAGAACCAAGAATATTGAGATAGAGAGAATTCTGTCCAAAAGTGAACGGCACAGCTCAAATCGCACTGGAGACGCGTGCAGGCAACAAACATCAATTGATATGGTGGCCCAAAAATCGAGTGAAATAAAATAGAAATCAAAAAAAAATAGAAGAAAGAAGAAGGAGAGGGAGTAGTAGTAGTGCGGTTCAGTTGTGAATTGTGATCATTAGCTACCAAATGTAATGTCATCACCGTTATCATCATTTTCAGCAACAGCCACCGTCAATGAAGATATCATGTGGTTCGCGGCAAGAGCTTTACTGTTGCTGACATTAATTTCGGATTTCGCAGCAAGCGTCAAAGATAGTAAGTGACCCCTTCATTAGACTTTTAAATTATCACAATAAAGAGTAATTTGATGCCGTTTTCATTGCCATTTTGTTATGTATGTTTTGATGTATGATATGATATGATGGTTGCCATGCGTGCCAAACAACACCCTTCCCATTCCATTGACACTGGTGAGAGAGAATTTTCTATATATGATCCCATCTATTTATCTATAGCTGTGTCTCTCTCTCTCTCTCTCTCTCTCACTCTTTCGAGTCAGGGACGGTGGTATTGTTGTTACGCAACGCATACGCATCATCACTTATCGATTTCCCTTCAGCAAAACTTACCAACTAAATATGTTTCAGGATGCGGATTTAATTAAAATTTATTCTAACAAAATTTATCCAAAATAATGAACTTCAACAAATTACATTCATTTAACATTTTGCGTATATATACATCACATGCATATTAGAGCATGAAAATGTACGCTTTGCTTCAAACACAACACATAAATTATACGAAAGCGACTACCGTAAACAACAATGTTCAGAACTTTTATCAAAAACTATTCCCATTTTTGTCATAATCATAAAACAAACTGCCAATACACAAACACACATGCATACGCACCGGATAAGGTCGTAGGATATTATTCGATCGTAGTGCATGGCATGTGTATGTATGTTTGTGTGTATGTAATGGAAATGAGTACAAGACCACGATCGATAATAATGATTTAGCTGTATGTTAATATTGTGGGCAGAATTTGGATGTTATATAGTTAAAAACATCTATTTATTTATTTATTTATCAATTTGGACGAAATAGTTGTTATCTTTGGCCAACGACTAATTATATGGCTTCGAGGAATGGTATTACATTGAATATTTTAAGATGTTTCGCTGTCGACTTTATCGACAATTTTCTATATACATTGTTCTTTCCATCGTCGTCGACATCGTCATCGATGTTGATGTTGCTGTATGTGATTCTTTTTCGGTATTTTTTTGTTGGCTCTTAAGTCAAAAACACTAAGCGGGTGAGCCAATATCAGGAATCAGTTCATAATAAATGTTGAAGTTTTCGTACAAATGAATTAGTACCGCCACCTTCAGTAACTCGCGTGAAAACCCACATAGTGCAGCATAGCACACCAATACCGACACAACAAACCAAACACACACAGACACGAATGATATTTCATCATAATCTGTTTTGAATGCTGTCGCTTTTATTCTCGGTAGTTCTTTGCAAAACTCACTAGAGGCGCTACTAGTATGCAATAGCTTGACTGTTCAACAACTAATACATTATAAGTGTATAAGAATATTCCGACTTTGGAGTGAGCATATGTGGTGAAATTCCAAACGGCATTATCGATGGCTTGTAAAATGTGTAAAATAATTTCAGTGGTTTTGGTATGGCGTAAGAAATCTTTGTGTGTTGTTGCCGTGTTGGAAAAAAAATACGAACGGAAATACCATACATACAAAACACAAACCAGAGAAAAAAAGGTGAAGAGAAACACAATGCATAACGGCAAATGCGATTTACAGGTTCGCTATTCCGGTTGTTGCTGCTGCTGCTGCTGTTGTTGTTGTTGTTGTTGTTGTTGTTGTTGTTGTTGTTGTTGTTGTTGTTGTTGTTGTTGTTGTTGTTGTTGTTGTTGTTGTTGTTGTTGTTGTCCGTGTTGAAGAATGAAAGGTGAAAATTTAGATTATGTACGCTTTGACCATTTAAAATTATTCACCTGCGGCACAATGTGTTTAAAATATTTATTGATGGGCTCAGGTGTAAACTGCCTGCCTATCTCAAGTAAAAGTGTTTCGGGCATCCATTACTCCCATCCATTCACCCACATCCACATCCACACACACACACACACTCACAATTGCATACAAACATCGTAGCTCACATCCACATTCACATCGTTACATAATCCCCAAGATTAATCTTTCGAGAGCCGTTCTTATTGTGATAAACTCAAAATGTGTATTGTGCCTTAATACGATGGCGAGTGAGAATAGTTAGCGGGACATAACTGAATGTGTGGATGCAAACAACAATCTTACTTCTGCCATTTACAAGCCCAAAAGCTTACACTGTTTATTGTTGGGTGTTTCTTCAGTATGTGTATTTATGTGTGTGATCCAAAGTTGTGCTGAGCCATCTCAACATGAGTCAAATCCAACCAAACTTATAACATGGTCACCCACACTGTTCAACGCACCACAACACGCACACATATACCAAAATATTATATACTAATTACGCTCTGAGCTCAATGTGTTTGTCATTCTTGAGCATGGCATTTGCACTGATATTAGCATTATACTTTTATGAATAAATGAATATGCGAACAGCTCATGTATCATTATGACGAAATATATGGTGGGAGAAAGAAGCGTTTTTACGTTCGGTTTACCCAATTCATGTGCGCGACCTAACGCACACCGAAATTTAACAACAGCACCGAAGCCAGGGAAAATTCAACTAATTAACACTTTTCAAATGATTACACCACATTGGCTGTCAAATATATGGGCAAATGATGGGCCATTGTTTTGTGCACACGCACATTTAAACACAACCACCATCGCACCACTGCCGTATCGATGTGTGAATGATTGTGTGCAAAAAAAGGGGAACAGTAAGTGAAGTGATGTTCCATCTGAATTATTTAGCACTCATCATTTAATTAAAAAATAAATCAAATTAGGAAAGACCAAAAACTGTGTGTCAAATATTTAAGTGTGGCTTTATGTGAAACCAGCATTGTTGACATTTACCTTTATTACGCTTGTACAATTTTCATCGACTACTATCAATGGCCGCCCATTGCATTAGCATCTTTGATATGAAATCGTATCCATACCATGGAATAGACACAATAGTCATCGTTCTTATTTAATACACATGGAAAAAATGCAACCCATATATATTAATTTATGATGTTTGCTCGCGTAATGTATGCGCAACATTATTGAATGTTTGGCCCTTGTTTTCCGGCTTAAACGTCAAATATTTGATAGACTTGTTCAAATATGATCACGAGTCCATGAGCTCGCACGCTTTAAATACATATTAGAGAAATGAACTTGTACACAGAATGGCAAGAATTTGCCCTTATCGATTGCATTGCATCAGTTGAGCCATTTCAATCAATTTTAAATCACCATGCTTTTAACGCAGAGAAAAATTTACGGATAAATCAAATGATTGATTCACAACTGAAGTTTTGTTTTTTTTTTGTTCTCTTCTTCTTTTTCGTCGATCAATTTTGATAATACAACCAGCCATCGTTGAATTTGCAAGCATGCGATTTCTACACGCATTACAATTTCATTCATTGTAAATTGAAAGAATTCCAAGTATGCAATGGTGTCAATGAGTTTGATGACATTAACATATTGAGAGGTAGCCGAGATTCCAGATTCCAGGATGTGTCAAAATACCTCGTTTCGACTGAAGTGTTTGTTGGCAAGAGTTCGAAGCGAGGGGGAGAGAGAGGGACGCTAAAGGTAGTGTTGGTGGAGAGAAGAGCGTACGACACATCGATTACAACCTTGTATCGCCATAATTCACAGGAATGTTATCGCTTGTTTGTCGTTACAATTTTTTTTTACCCATTCGCTTCTCTTACCGTTCTATCGCTCTCTGCTCCGTTTCGCTCTCTTGTGCCATCCGATCGGATGCCAGTACAGAGTACACACATGCATTGAATTTTCGATTTGCAGTGATTTCAATTTGCTCAAGTGATTTATTGGTTATTCGGGCGGTATTCGATAAGCAAGGTAGACATATCAATTTCGATATGTAGAATTGATTGTTTCGTGTGTGTGTGTGTGTGGCACGGTTGAGAGCGAACGAGTAATAATGCGAAAAGAAAACAAACTCAAGTCCACACCAATATAAAATATGAGCGCCACCAGCAATAGCGATGGCAATAATAACAACAACAAGAGCAGCGGCACCAACAACATCCATAACCGATCGGAAAATTGAAAACAATCACCGTGCGATGGCTGAGTAACTATTATTAACCGAATCGGGTTGACGGTTTTAGTAATCCGGCGAAGGCGATACCAATTTTTGTTTCTTTCATTGTTTCGTTTCGAATCGAGTGCTGTTTCATTTTGGATTAAATAAATAAATCAAATTTATATTTTGTAGTATTTTTCGAAGTCATTCAGCGTCTCAGCTGCTCGCACAATTGCCAGCCTTTCTTCGTTCTTTTCCCATTTTCATTTTGGGCCACTGGGGTTGTCGCTATTCTCATGTTTAGTTTTTTTTCCATTCCCTTCTTTTCTATTTTCTCCGTATTCCTTTCGTGTGCTGTAGCTGTTATCAACTTGGTTGTGTTCATTTGTGTGCGTTTGCAGAGTAATATGACTGTCGGTTCTGGTCGGTTAGGCATGAGTTAGTTGTGTGAATGTGTGTTGAGTTTTTTTGTCGCCATTAAATCTATTCAAATTCTATCTTCGCTCAATGAAAGCCAGAAGAAAGAAAAAACGAAAAAATAAATAAAACGCAAACGTAAAAAAATTGACGAAAAAAAAATTATTAAAGTACACTCGTAAAGACGAAAGCAGTGATGGGGTACCGGTGTGTACGAAAAATTGGTTAGAGATGCGATTGCGTGAAGAATATAAATAATAAGGAATACCATGCTGGATCGATGCACTTATATTGATAGGGTATTGATAACACATTATTCCATTGAAAAATATTGGTAGGGAAAATATTATTCGAACACATGAAGCAAGCAGGAACAAAAAAGAAAAAGTAGTAGCATTGAATGATATTCAGTGGTCTATCTCCAACTTTTGGTGTTTGCATTCTCTCACTTATGCAGTATTGTGAGCAATTGAGTGGATGAGTCGATGGCTATACGTGTGGCTGTGGGTGATTCTTTTCTGTTCCCCGTGACAAACCACAAAACTCTAGTTTACAACATGATTTATATCCCGCTCTCACCTTACAAGACATTGATTGACTTTTTCCATCGATGAATAAATCAGTTTACCATC